GTCAATACTTAAAGCTCTATTTCCCACAAACTGGAATTCCCAGCGCGGTCCGGACCGTTCCGAGGGAATAAAGGCACTTTAAACGTTCTTTTCTTGCGATTTGCTATGGAATAGAGGCTGGATATGGAATAAAATCCTCTTCCTTTCGTCGTTTTCGAAATAAACCTGGAAAAATTGTAGGAAGTGGGAAAAAAAAAGCTTTAAACTTACGTAAGAATTCTTAAAGAGACTGCAAAGGTGTTTTTTTAAAAGGTTTTAAAAACGGGCGCGGTGACCGGCGAGGAAAGGGTGTGGCTGTGGGCGGGGCCATATAAAAGGGGCGTGGAAACGGGCGGGGCTAAGGGAGTGACGTGCGGTGTGGAGGTGGCCGATGCAATGACGTAATGGTGGGCGGAACAATGTGACGTAATGTGGGTGGAGCTATGTGACGTCAGGGGCGTGGTGATGTGCGATTGACACTCGTGATGTGGGCGGAGCTATGTGACATAAGTGGGCAGGGCGAAGTGATATGGTGGGCGGGGTTATATTGCGTCAGGGGCGTGTCAATATGCGATTGATACTCGCGATGTGGGCGGAGCTATGTGACGTAACTGGGCGGGGCAAAGTGGAATGGTGGGCGGGGTTATGTGACGTCAGGGGCGTGTCAATATGCGGTTGATACCCGCGGTGTGGGTGGAGCCATGTGACGTAACTGGGTGGAGCTGAGGCGATGGTGGGCGGGGTTATGTGACGTCAGGGTGTGGCGATGTGCTTTTGATGCTCGCGGTGTGGGCGGAGCCATATGAGGTAAGTGGGCGGAGCCATGTGACGTCATGTGGATGTAGGCKGTGATGGGCGTTAAAACGTGACGTCATTGTGTGGGGGCGTGGCCAACACCGCTGCCAGCAGGGAGCGCTGCGCGCTGCCGCATGAGGGACCCGCGCTGAGGGACAGGTGAGAGACCATCGGTACCGGGGCASGGGTGGGAGCGGCCTGAAATGCACTTTGAAACCCTTAAAATGCCGAAAAAGAGCCAGCTGCCTTCCCTTGAAAATGAGGGAACGGGGAAAGTGTTTATCTCTGCTTAATCTGATATAATGTCAAATAAAGGGCTTCTCCCCTTTCATCCCCTAAAATAGTGGAAAATGAGGAGTTTTCCTCACTTTAAATCTCTCAAATGGTGGGAAAAGCGGGATTTTACCTCAATTCAATCTCTTAAAAAGGGGTGCCGACTGGGCCTCGCCCTCATTTCAAACCTTAGGATGATGAAAATGGGGGAGTCTCGTCTTTCCCGGGTTTTGCTCCTCATAACTCCCTGCCTGGGCGCGGGGCTCAGGCTGCGTTCAAGACGCGGTTCGATTTGTTTAAACCACAGCTCTGTCCCCTCTTTTCCGCGTTTTGCTCCTCATCATTCCTCCTCGGGGCTCAGGCTGCGTTCGGTTTATTTAAACCACAGCTCTGGCCCCTCTTTTCCGAGTTTTGCTCCTCATAATAATTCCTCACCGGAGCGGTTCGGTTTGTTTAGACCACAGCTTTTCCGAGTTTTTGCTCCTCATAATAATTCCTCCCCGGGGCTCAGCCTGCGTTCAACACGCGGCTCGGTTTGTTTAAACTACAGCTCTGTCCCCTCTTTTCCGCGTTTTGCTCCTCATAATTCCTCCCCGGGGCTCAGGCTGCGTTCGGTTTATTTAAACCACAGCTCTGGCCCACCCCGGCCCGCCCTCCCCATCCCTCTTTTCCACATTTTGTTCATAATAAATCCTCACCGGGGCTTAGGCTGCGTTCAACACCCGGTTCGGTTTATTTAAACCACAGCTCTGGCCCCTCTTTTCCGAGTTTTGCTCCTCATAATAATTCCTCMCCGGAGCGGTTCGGTTTGTTTAAACCACAGCTGTTCCGAGTTTTGCTCGTCATAATAATTTCTCCCCGCGGCTCAGGCTGCGTTCAAGACGCGGTTCAATTTGTTTAAACCACAGCTTTGGCCCTCCCTCCCCGTCCCCTCTTTTCCACGTTTTGTTCATAATAATTCCTCACCGGGGCTTAGGCTGCGTTCAAGACGCGGTTCGGTTTCTTTAAACCACACCTCTGTCCCCTCTTTTTCGCGTTTTGCTCCTTATAATTCCTCACCGGGGCTCAGGCTACGTTCAAGACGCAGTTCAGTTTATTTAAACCACAGCTCTGGCCCTCCCTCCCCGTCCCCTCTTTTCCAGGTTTTGCTCATAATTCCTCCCCGGAGCTCAGGCTGCCTTCGACACCCGGTTCGGTTTCTTTAAACCACGGCTCTGTCCCCTCTTTTCCGCGTTTTGCTCCTCATAAATCCTCACCGGGGCTCAGGCTGCGTTAAAGACGCGGGTCTGTTTGTTTAAACCACGGCTGTGGCCCCTCTTTTCCGAGTTTTGCTCCTCATAATAATTCCTCCCCGGGGCTCAGGCTGCGTTTAACACGCGGTTCGGTTTCTTTAAACCACAGCTCTGGCCCGCCCTCCCCGTCCCCTCTTTTCCACGTTTTGTTCATAATAATTCCTCACCGGAGCTCAGGCTGCCTTCAACACTCGGTTCGGTTTGTTTAAACCACAGCTTTGACCCTTCTCCCCGTCCCCTCTTTTCCGCGTTTTGCTCCTCATAGTAATTCCTCACCGGGGCTCACTCAGGTTGCGTTCAACACGCGGTTCGGTTTGTTTAAACCACAGCTTTTCCGAGTTTTGCTCCTCATAATAATTCCTCCCCGGGGCTCAGGCTGCGTTCAACACCCGGTTCGGTTTGTTTAAACCACGGCCCGCCCTCTGTCCTCTCTTTTCCGGGGCGGTGCGAAAGAACGCGGGGCCGGCAAGGAGCGGATCCCGCCGGCGGACGGTGAGAGGGGCGGTACCGGAGCCCGGGGAGGGTTCGTACGRGCGGGATGGAACAAGCATTTCATACCGTACTGTGCTGGGAATGTGCCAGCCCGGCAAGGAGAGCTCCTGAGCCCGCCCTGTGCCTCGGAGGGGTCGGGGAGAGGCCGCTCCGGAGGTCACGGAGCTGCCGGCAGCGGAGGGCTGAAAGCCGCGTTTCTTAGCGAGCCTCCTTCGCTGGGTTCTCCCAATCTTATTGCGGAAAAAATTTGGCTGCTGTCGAAGTTTAATGGTTTGTTGCAGCGTGTGCGAGTTTTGTGGGTTTTTAGAAAGATTTCATGCGTGGCTGGCGGGCAGCGTCACCCGTAAGACACTGCAATGTGAGCCATTTATTTGTGAAATGTAAAGAAATGCTTTTTGTTTTCCTGTTTGCTAATGGAGAGACTTCTGATTTAAATGAGAAGAGAAAAAGAGACATTTTCTTATGTTCATTGKTTGAGAGARAATTKTAATTTGGAATTTTCTTGCTGCTTYAGGTCARCCCATGARGCTSATYTTAATGMTTTYTTTTTWAAATGYTCATGCAGTCTCTTATTGCAGCAGGAAAAAAGGACGAAAATTATTTCAATTATTAATATTGAAAATTATTAATTAGGCACAGAAGGAATATTGCCCAGTATGAGGTGCCAGAAGAAATGTCCTCATGTCAGTGTAGCAGTGGCTGTTTCCTTTCTGTGCTGCTGTCATCACTTTGGTTGTGGTGCCTGGGCTGTGTGGGTTCATGGAGTGTAAAAAAGCCAAGCCCTCACTGCTCWGGAGGAGTTAAAGACACAAGCTCAGGCCAATCTCCAAGGCCTGTGGTAATGTAACCTAAATAAGAGGTGTGTCCTTGCCTGGCATTCCTGCCCATCCCATGTGACACACAGTAATGTGCTTAACTCCCCAAATACTGCTGTAAATCTGCTCTGTAATCTACAGTGCACAAACAGGAGGGATCTGTGAACAACATCTGCTCAGTCCGTGCACATCAGCTGTACTTACTGCTCATTATGGTGCCAAACAAGGGCCCTGCTCTCTTTTCCCACTGAAATTAAGTTGATTTTATTAACAATTCATGCTACTATAGACTTGATATCATCATGGATGTAGAACTGCCATTTAACTGTCTGCCTTTTTTTGAAAACTAAATCTTTAAGTCCATTTTTTTCCCTTTTTTTTTTTTCGCCCTTGCATTCACCTCTTCTTTTTTATTTCAGCAGTGAATTTTCACTGCTGCCCATCTCATTCATTTTGYTGGGCAAATGACAAAGGCAAAGAACTGCCAGAAGAAAACCAACTGGTGTTACCCTCATGGTTTAAAGTTACTTTTTCTTTATATGAGCATGTCAGTCTGTGTTATGCATTGTATCTTTCTACGTTTTACTTTACCCACTTCACGTCTGTGTGTGTGATTCATCACAAGTTCACCATCATAAAGAGAATCTCAAGTGTGCAACACACTCAAGAGACTCCAGATATCAGAGATACCATCAGAAAATTGCTATCCTGTGGTGCATGTAATCAGCAATATGCCCTGAGAGAAAACTTGACCTTCCTTCCCYAAGATGCTTTTAAAATTCTTGTGTGGTAAAATATCTCCAGCGTGCCCCCGAGCGAGCAGTGCAAAGGGTTTTCAAAGCCCAGGTTCCAGCTTTGCACAGTTTTATTTYAGGAATAAACACCACAAAATCCAGCTAAGAGCTATGAAAATGGGGAGGTCTTAGCCTTGTCAGGCCCTTTGGAGTGACATGGATTTAAAACGTCACATCAGGCTATTGGGTGTGAGATTCATGACCTCGTTTGCAAGGGTGGCCTAAAGCAAGAGCCAGCAGTGTTGCACACACAAGTGCAAATTTTGATTGTAAAGTGTTGTCACAGGGATAGAAAATCTTCTTTTACACCAGCAAACCTCGCCTGGCTCGCTGAAGAATCGTGTYTGAATTCAGTTTGTTTCTGAAGTCTGTAATTTTGTTCAAAATTACGGTGTGGCCACACCAGGAACTTGAATGAAGCAGAAACCAGTAGTTTTTGGGAAAACCAGAATATCATGATACTTGTGTTTTTGCAGGTCTCCCCACTGTCTAGGGGGAAACTTTTAGGAGTTGAATCATCATATGAATATCTGGTTTAGGGTTTTTTTTTTGCCATCTGGGTATTGATATAGACTTAGAGGATCACAGCTTGTTTATCATGTTCTAGTGCTGTATTCTCTCTGTATTCTCTGCCTGAAACTGGTGTGCAAACATAAATGAGTTCAGAAAAGCTGGAGATGAATACGAAAATGAATAGTAGCACTTCATTGTAGGATGATTTTACAATCAGATCTTGCTGGCTAAAACCATCTTGATACTTTAATAACTCTACACTTAAAATTCAGAAAAGAAGGAGTGAGAGTAAGCTGCTTTTAAAACAATTAATTGTAAGACAAGRCATAGTGGTTAGAATGAGAATAAATACATTTAATTCATGTATGTCTCAGGGCAATTAAAATTAATCACTGTTTGATCCACTGATTTTCATCCCAAGAGTTTTTGTTCATTTTGATGAATAAACTAGCAAAGTGCTGTGTAATTAAAAGATGGAAGTGGTCCCATGGAGGATAGAACTATAAATAGGTTGAGGAAGGGATTCTGCACGTGAACAAAGGGTGGGTTTGTCAGGCACTGCTGAGTATTGATGTGGTCTTAATGCAACTTGTGGCTCAGAAAACCTGTAACTGGTTGCTGCCAGGAGCAAGAATGGCAGAGGAGTGAGAAAATCTTGCAGTAGGCAAGGTGTGCATGTGGCAGCTCACCCCAAAACCTCAAGTTGTCATAAAAATCCTTTATTTGTCAGCTCTATGTCCCTTAATGTGATAAAGATCATTGGGATAAGTTTGATAAGAACTCTGGTATTGTAGGAATGAGGTGATGAGACCTTTTGGGTTTTGCTGATTGAAGCTGAAAAACTTCAATATCCACGAGTGACACTTGGCAGGTCTGAGTGATTCATCTGGAGCAGCTCCAGCCCTGCTGGACTCTGAGATGTGGGCCAGTAATTGCTGCTGGCCTCAAACTATTTTTCACCAGGCAAAACTCACAATTTGGTGTTGTTTGTTCTAAGCTATATTTTACTTTGGAAACCACAACAATCCTTTGTCCTCTGAGGAGTGGGGAGGTGCACTTGTGCCCTTTTGATGGGGTTTTCTGCTTCAGCMTTATTTCTTGGATTGATTGTGCAGGTTCACAGCTGCTGGGTAAGGACAGAGCAGTTTGAGCACAGATATCATGTTGGTGTAAGCCCTGAGCAGATGAGGATTCCATTTCAGACCTTCAGCCTATCCTGGTTAAAGAATAAATAGCTGTGGTCAGTCTTTGAAAGTAGTCATTATGACTGGGAACTGAAATGCAAAACCATTTCTGTTTCTTACAGCCTCCCTTGCCCTCGTAGGGGTCAGATGTGAAGCAGAACTTCTGTAGAGGCTGTTACCATCTCTGTGTTGAGAATCATCAATCCAAAGAAACGTTGCTGTGTTRGTCAGGACTTTATTGCCAGGTGGGTATAGTGAGAGCACGTTGCAAATGCTGCTGGTGCAAACCTAAAGTGACAATCCCCCTGCTCTYCCCCCCAAATCCTCACATTGCAAATGACATATTCAGGATGGATATTGGAATGGCCTTGTTCCCCTGGTCCCATAGCTGGCAAGCAGTGTCACTTCTGTTACTGCATCACTTGTTAACTAGGTGAGAAAACAGCCTTTAAGATTAAAGTTTCATCAAGTATTTTGAGAGCGAGCAAGTATAGACTTTATTCTTCTCAAGAATTGCAGTGTTTCTTTTTGAAATCCCTGGCAGAGTTAGAATGTTCTGTCAGAAAATGTCTCCAGTGAGAAATAGCAGGCAARGAATATTTTCTGTGGGATGGTATGAGCAACCTTGTACTTTAAAGCTTGTATATTAATTGCTTGTTAATGGGCAGCTTTTGGCAGAATTTCCTTTTGGTATGGCCTCAAGAATTTTAATGGAGCATCAGTCAGCGAGCAGAGAAAATATACTTTAAAAACAATAAACAGGATGTTCAGTGGTTGTGTCTGACATGGGTTGAATCAATCATTTTCTAATTTTTCTCAATTATGAATCCTGCATTAACTTCATTAAGAGCAGAAAGATGTGTTGCATCCTTCTAACTCCAATGCAATATATTTTTCTGGATTTCTTCCYCTCCACACCTGATGTGTTTTCTGGAAGGTTATGAGGAGAAACAACCAGAAATGTTTAAAACCCTGTGGATGTTGAGGAGTTTATTTTCTGTGTCTTGCTTACAGGCCTCTGAAAGTGATTCCCAAGGTGTTTTCAATCCCCCTAAACACCTTTTATGCAATGTTTTTGCAAGCAGAGAGTCTGTTGCTGGCTTAACTCTTACAGGTACACAATGCATATGTGTAAATATGCAAAAGTATGTGCTTTTTTTGTGTGGGGGGGGAATCCCCACAAGAGTCAATTTATTAAAAAAAAAGTATTCATAAAAAAAAAGCCAGTGCTGCTGAGGTGATTGAGCCTCTTGATTTWTATTCCTGTGTTTTCCCTTCTTTAGTGGTCATTGGATGAAAATTCCCCAAAATAGGGTGTTCTTCCCAGAAAAGAATGGAAAAAGCTCTATTGAACAACATACCTTAACCCAATAAAAAAAAATCCCAAAACCAATATGCAAAAAAGAAGGGAAAACTGTAGAGTGGAGGAAAAACCCTCAGCTTACACAAGGCACAGTCTGTCCCTTCAGGAACAGGAGCTCTCAGCATGGRCAGGTTTTTTTCTGTGCCAGCTGTTCTGTGCTGTGTCACCTCCTCTCCTGTTCTGGCCACCTCGCTTGGGAAGRGAAAGGGCAATTCTGAATTGCTTGAATTATTTTGCAATTCTGTCTGACAGAGTGATGCATGTTTTGGCAACCTGGTGGCTCAGAGGTGAGAGCACAGAGCGTGTTCCCCCTTCCCCTGGTGTGGCACATTCCTGTTGCAGCTTGGTGAGCATCTTCTCTCAAAAATATTGGGACTAATTCCTACAGAGGGAGGAAGGAAGGAGGGATTGGCAGATTTTCTTGAGGAAAATAAGGGGTTCTAGCCATTTTTTCCTGTCCCAAATTAGATGTTAAATATGTTGGGAACTGSAGAGTTAACTGCTCAACAGATCCTGCTTTTCACCTTTAAATACACACCTTATTGTATAAACACAGGTGCTGTACACACAGCATACACCAAACCTCAATCCCGTGTCTTTGACCTTCTGAACACAGTTATTGCTGTGTGGGTTTAGTTAGCCAGGGCCAGGAGCTCTGTGCACTCAGCACAGAACCCACTGGGACATCAGCATTTAATAAAGGATTTTATGCAGAGTGGAGATAAGYGAAGGTTAATGTCTTCAGGCAGCAAAGATAGTGCTGTAGTCAAGGTCTTTAAYGATTGTAGGATATCTCTTTCTGTGGAGAGGATTTTGGGTGCAGTCATCAATTGTGGATCCCACTCTGGGGCAGGGGCACCTCCAGGTCAGTGAAGGGACTGAATTAAATGCTTTTGCATGGGAGGTCTTTGTTAATGAAATCTGTCTGTGGTGCACACAAGGTTTTATCCAGAATGGGGTCAAATACTTGGGAAAAAAACCCTTAGCATCAATCTCTACACAGAATAAATGTACTTGTTGCATTGTACCTGTTGAGGATATTTCTCTCCATCTCATTGTAATACTTGGTAGGTGTTCTTGAAATAAAAATGATGACAGCTGAGGCTGAATTTCAACTTGAATTTCAACCTAATCCCTGCAGTTCCTTCAGAAAGTTGTGCTGAGGAGACAAAGCCATATAGAAAAAAAAAAAAAAACATTTGAAACTCATCCTGTATGACAGTGCATAAATTTAAATGCCAATGCTACTGTTTTTATTTTGAAACTCCATTTGRTAGCACAGCTTTGAACTCCAGATTTGCTGTTGGGTCTCTCTAAATTAAAATTAACAGCAAAACATCTATCATGCCAGGGTTCACTTCCCTTTGTTTAAAGTATCTCGTGCTGCTTCATTCAGCAGGTTCAGGTTCTTGGTCATTCCATTCCATGATGCAGTTCATCAAGGTGCTGTTGAGTGCTCTCTTCTGATGTTTATCCAAAGCTCCTTTGGCATCCTGAGTCCTACACAGTTCATCCTTCTCTCCCTCCCTCCTTTCTCACTGTTACTGCCTTTGTTCTTTTCCCTTTGTTCTAATCCAGAGTTCACAAAGACTCGTTTTTTCTAAAAAATACATTTTAAGACTGACCCTATTCCCAGGCACTTCCCAACTCAACATTCTGCTCTGCATCCATTTATGTTTTATGTTGATTTTTGAGYTCCTTTGGTGCCGTCAGACCGTACAATCTTGGAGCTGCCTCTTGTTTGCACAGTGCATTGTACCTAGTGCACATTGCAGTGCTGAGCTCCAGCTCTCTATAAATAATGAAAACATGCAGGGCTTGCTGGCACAAGTCAGTGCAGCATTTCCTGAGGCTCTGCTGTGTTTCCGGGAGCTCGGCTCTACTTTGGAGTATTTTCTGTAAAGCTTCGTGAGAGCTTCTGTTGTGCAGCTCCTCTGTTACAGGACACACAGCCCTGTGTAACACCAGCATGCAGAACACCAAAATGGGCTCAGCCAGATTTCTGTCTCCTCCCATCTCCTCCTCAAATGCAGAAATCAATGAGAGCCCCGCCTGGAGCATGGGAGGGAATATTATTGTCCCAAAAGCTGGGTGAGGAAGGTGAGTGGTCAGCCCACAGACCAGACAAACTCTGAGCTCTCAACAAACACCTGGAGTTGTAACTTCAGGATATAAAGCAAATTTGGATAGAAAAATCAGCCTTAAGGAATCTGTTTGCCATACAAGCAGTGTCTGAATTCATGGTCAGCAGCAGCAGCAGCAGCCACCCTCCTGGATGTTTGCCAAGTGGAGTTATTTTTGCATTGTAAAGTGCCTACAGATAATTCTTCTGAAGGGTGCTATATAAATAAAACAGCTGCTGGATTGGTTTAAAGTGAATCTCTTGAATTTTGGCTCCCCCCTTCCACAAATTACGTGTATAAATTKTCCCAGCTTCAGAAATTAGATCAGATCTATCATGGGTGAAATGGGWTTAATTTTATTACACACAATAGTTCATTAGTGAAGAAGAAGAAATTTCATGTATTTATGCATAGCCTGCCCAGAATATTTTACATTCTGCTCTTTCAGATGTAAATAAAAATAAAATGCTCATCGAATTGCTTATTAGCCAGCATGGAGAATAGAGAGTGGTTGCTGTAGGTTACCTTTTGGAATTCTTAGGGAACATTAGGTGGGAATGGGAATTGGGGACCAAATCCATCCTTAAAGGTGATGGAGGTGGCCTGATGACGCAGCATGACCTGATCCTGAAGCGGTGTTGGATCACTGCATCCTGCTGATGAAGGGCACAACTTGTCCTGTGGAGAGAGAAGATAGAKCTCAGTCCTGGAGCACCAGGAATTCAAAGAGTGACTGAGCCTGTGCAACCCCCACCTTGCCCAAATATCCTGGGGGTTTCTCCAGCTCAAACCAGAGCAGACCCTGTGCTGGATGCTGAGGAGTAGAGTGAGTGTTGGATAAATTCTCGAGGAGTGGCAGCCATCTGTTGGTGGTGCTCACTGAAATTCCTCCTGTTTAATCTCACCACATTCGTGTGCCTGCATCTGTTTGTGTTGAGTGAGGACCTTAGGTGAAAATGTTTGTGTTTTTGTGACACCACAAGTGTCTTTGTAGCCTGATTTGCTCCTATGTACATCAGAGCAGCTGGGTGAAACCAGCAGACCTATTAATGTCAATCCCCACTCAGACAGCAGGATCGATGTTTCCAGGCAGTTCCTTCTCCCAAGTGACTGATCACAGGAGCTGCACAAAGATTTCTGCTTCTGGAAATGAATTCTTTGTGATTGTGCAGTAACATYGTGTTGAGGCACAATTAGAGGAGTTCTTCCTAATCCTGCCTGCCTTTGCTGTTATTTTCAGATCTCTGTTTACTTGGTAACAAATACCTGGCCTCTTAGAAGACATGCCAGTGGTGATGATGAAATTGTATATTTTCAGCTAATCATAGCATAAACCTGTACAGCTKTGGTGCAGGTCTCATTCTTTTTTGCTTGGATCTTTTAAGGCTCTGCAAGGTGACCTTCTACTCTGGAGCATTGTGCTGAGGCCACTGAACTGTGACATGCTGGGCCCTGGTATAAATAAATCTGCCTGTCCAGGAGTCATTGCTGTCCTGCTTAGCCCTTTGGACTCACTTCACCACTTTATAGAACATTATAAATCTGGGTTTTTTCCCTTAAAAAAATCTAAATGTATCTATACTTARGGCATGAAGTGGACGTTATCTTCCTAAAAGATACAGCCAGGGAATGGTTAAGTCTTTTCATATCCTTAGGTGGGAATTAGRGAACAAGAATGGATGCTTTGTAAGGAATTACTGGTTATTATTACAGACCTCTGAAAAACAGACATGAAATTAGCAGTTGTGTGTCATTTCATTACTGCTTTGGCAGTCTGCTTTCTTTTTCTTGAACGCTAAGATGGTTGCTAGGGCTTTGTAGTGAATAACCTTTTTGTGTTCAGCTCAAGGCGGAGTGTAATTATTTTATAATTTTGGTTTGTGGGGCCATTTTAGACATTTGCAGAGAAAAAAGAATTCAGCTTTTGTTAACTGCCTTCATAGTTGGCTGTCAGTCACTGGTRTGTCGCAGCACAGACAGAGGAGCTCTGTGTCTGTGCTCATCATTTGCACTTGGTGCTTGCCTGAGGATCTGGCACCACCAGTGAGATGAACACGCACTTGACATTGTTAYAAACTGGCACTGATTGACTTTGAAAAGTGAAGTTCCCTGTCAAGGTAAGTGTCTGCTTTAGTGGCAGGATCTCTGTGTGGAGGGGAGGCTGTGGATAGCACCTGCTGGAGCCAAAAAAATGCACTTGGGTTAAGGCTGACATGCTGCAAAGGGACCAAACTCTCACTTCAGGGTGAAGACTTCTAGGAGTCCATAAACTTATTCTTCCGTATAGTTACAACAGTTTCCCCCCATCAGACTGTTTTTTAGGACATGGCAACTTTTTATGATCAGAGGRTTGGAACACCTCTGTTATAGAGAGAGACTGAGAGCTGGGAGGATCCAGCCTGGAGCAGAGGTGGCTTTGAGAGACCTTAGAGCCCCCTCCAGTGCTTTCAGGGGCTCTGAGAAAGCTGAAGAGGGATTGCCTGCATTGACAGGACAAGAGGGAATGGCTTTCCTCTGCCAGAGAGCTGGGCTAGATGGGATATTGGGAAGGAATTGTCCCCTGTGAGAGTGGGAGGCTCTAGCACAAGGTGCCCAGAGAAGCTGTGGCTGCTCCTGGATCTCTGGAAGTGCCCAAGGGCAGGTTGGACAGGGCTTGGAGCACCCTGGGACAGTGGAAGGTGTCCCTGCCATGATAGGGTGTGGAATGAGGTGTGCTTTAAGATCTTTCCAACCCAAATTCCAGGATTCTGTATAACAGTTACAGCTGTACTGGGGCACTGAGAGGGCAGCAGGGCACATTCTGGGATCAGAAGTGGGTGTCTCATGCACAGCTGTCTCCATCTAAACTCTTTGTCCTGCATTGCTCAGGGCTCTTGGAGAGCAAGTTCACAGTCAATTATCTAAAGGGCTGATTTGCCCCCCTGCAAAGTCAGTCCTCCCAGCTTGGCCCGTTAGGTCAGGCTTTACCTCGAGCCCATGAAGGCTCTACCTGTGGGCTGAGAGCCCCCTGATCCACTGCAGATGTCCCTTGCAGGCAGAAAATCCCACCCATGTTGGCACAGGTGGCTCTTCAGCATCTCTGCTGAGCCYCTGAAGGGTTTTCCAAGGCACAGCCCCACTGGCACATGGTCCCTGCTGCAGCCTCAGCACAGCTCCCACCTACAGGGATAAAAACACCCCTCCCCTGATCCCAAATACCCTGTGGGGCTGTGGTGACGTGGCTGCTGTGCCTGCACCTCRGGCTGTGATGGAGTGCAGCAATCCAGCACTGCAGACACGATGCTTTGGGKTTTTTTTTTCCGCCTTGCTAATTGCTTTCTACACATAGAAAATCTCAACCGATGCGAACGCTGACAAAGCCCCCAGGAGCTGGGAGCTGCTGGGAATGGCAGACGCCACGTATTTATGGGTCGGCAAGTGTTTCAAATGACAGGAAACATATTTTTGCTTAAGGTGTGTCTCTAACTTGGGATCCATCACTTGTGCATGTTGCTGTAGCAACGCTGCAATGGCATGGGAGTTGCTTTTATGGCTGATTTCCGAGCAGATCGTGGCAGGAGCTGTTACCAAGCAACCCACTCCTGTGCACCCCTAACTAGGAAATGCAGACAGTTCTTTTTAATATTGCCCAGGATTTTGATCRTATGTTCGTTCTGTCAACTTTGGTCTTTTTGATGTGAAATAATTGCTGTGGAGTACTACAGAAAGATCCCTGTTTTGTGGGGACTTCCCCCTTCACTGTTTCTCTCAAATGAGTGTTCACTGTGAGAACATTCACAGGAAGGCAAAGACAACAGTCCATTTATTTCAAAAAAAAAAAAAAATTAAAAATGTTGTATTCAATACGTGCTGCTGAAGAGTAATTAAAGGCAGACCATCTGTCTGGGTGGAAAGAGCTGCATCCTGTGCTTCCCAGGTCTGCAGCTGATCAAACGTTATGTTCCAGGACAAACCTCCCAAAATGCRGGTGTGGAAATGCTCTTTGGAAGTTTCTCATAGTTCCTGCTCTGATTCYCATTCCTTCTGTTCCATCTCCCCAGTACTTGGAGGGATTTTGGTAACAATCTGCTTGTGCCTTTATTTGCTGTAGAACTTTCACTCTGTTTGTGCAGTGCCTCCAGTGGGACAAGGCCTTGTGTTTGTRTGAGCACATCTGCAGTGCTGGGTTCTTTGTAATTCCTCTGCCTGCATTCCCTCTGAAGAGTCAGAACCAGATTTCAAAAAATATGCCAAACATCTGGTAAATCAGAATCCCCTGAGYTGATTTTGAAATATTTGTTCAGGAGTGCCACAGCTATGCCAGGTGGTGATTGCTGTGGAAAACCTGTYCTTAATTTATTTTTTATATTATGCCATTAGATTAAAAGGATCCACCTGTAGGTCAGTGTGTTCCCCATTCTGGGTTATGCTGGGAGAATCCATCCTGCTCAGAATTCTATTTACATTCCATGTTCTCTGGATGTGCTGATGCTCTGCCCTGTGATCATCTGAACACATTCCACATTCTGTGAGAATCTCTTTATGGCAAAGCATTGATTTAATGAATTCTGAGCAAGAGAAAAAAAAACCTCAAAAGCCAGGACACACAGGGAATAAGTGACTGGAAAAGAGAGTGCTTCATCCAAGGGAGAATAATAAAAAAAAAAAGAACCAGGACAAATATTTATCTGTCATGTGCTAAAGGATTCCTTTTCTTCTCAGACATGAAGCAGTCGGTGTAAGACAAACATGCTAGCAACTACTACCCATGTTAGCTCCTTGTTGTGCTCAGGATGGTGAGAAAAGAAAAAAAACAAAACTGTATGAATCATTGTTTTGCAAGGATGCTGCTTGCCCTGCAGATATTTACAGGYTGTTTTTCAGGAAAATGGTGAGTTTACAGACTGCCCACTGAATTTCCATTTTTATGCCAGGGTCGTATTATTACTGCATAATTCATCATGTAATCACATAGACCTGCGCTTGGTTTGATTAAAGGAAAAAATGTCAGCTATTCTTAAATTATTCTGTCTTTTAGCACAGAACTTTAAGAAAATCCAAGAGTCATTGAGGATGGAAAAAAATCTCCAAGTTCATGGAGTCCAGGTGGGATGGGACCTCACTGAGCAGCCCCTTTGAGTGAAGAAATCCCTGCTGATGTCCAGCCTGAACCTCTCCTGGTGCAATGCAAGCCATGTCCGTGTTGCAGAGGTTGGTGTTCTGCACCCAGCTSACCCTGGAAGGTGTTAATATCCCCTCCATAAACAATCTCCTCTTTTYCATTTCTAGAAATGTTGGTCTTCAAGAGCGCTGGAGTTTCTTTGGAGCAGGAACCTGACATTTCATACCCAAATAGCCTAAAAACAGCCTCAGGGTTATGCAGTCATTTTAAAAATGAACCCATCAAATGCTTAACACCTGGTAAGTGTTGCTTACAAAACTGAAAGTTATTTTCATTTGAAAAGTGTTCCAAAGCTTGACAGCGTTTTCCCACATATTTCTACTGTCTTTCAACTGGAAAAATTGGGAAAATAGTRGGGAAGTGTGTGTGTATGTCAGGACAGAAAGCTCACTCTGCAAAAGGYTAGGAACATCTCTGGAAGCAATCTTTTTCCAAGTACAGCTGAAATCAAATGAAATTAATTGAAATATTACTTTTTAAAAATTTGAAATTAATTAGTATTTTTCCAATAATAATAATACTTTTATCAAAATTTTATAACGCATTCAAATTCCCCTATTGGGGATGGAGGATTTGGTCTTCCTGTTTCTTGGAACAGCAAACCAAGAGACTGCAAGAAATAATATTAAGCATTACATGAAAATGATGTTAGAATTGCAAAGCTGAGGATTTAAGCTTTGTAAATGAGGGAATTGTGGCTCCTGCTTAATTTCATTCATCATTTAGGCCTGAGCTGTCYTTGCCACATGCTTCATTTTCTTTTCCATCACCTGTTGGGTTGTTACTGACATAGGGCCAAGCGTGCACCAACCCCACTGATGTTACTGCTGTAGGAATTCCACGGYCTGGCTGCACAGGAATAACTCAGTGTGTAAATCACAGGGAAYGCTGCACTGGCCTCGTGTCTCCAGCTGTTCTCTGCTCATTATTCCTCTAACCTGCATGCCTGCAGTTGTGTGTTTGCACTGAGCTGTCAAAGCCTCAGCGTGATCTGGGATATTTTCAGTGGAGCTGTGGCAGCCGTGGCTCCATGGTTGGTGTAAAAACCTCAGACTTTTTTACAGTTCTGAACAGATCTGTGACAAACACTGAGCAAAATAGATCTGGGTAACCAGTGGGGAGCAAGGAAAAAGGGGAGAACCTTTACTGCGTGTGAATAAAAGCGTTGGCTGAAAAGCAAATAGCTCKTAGATTGGCAGCTCCTGCCCTCAGCAAGTGTCCTGACAGATCCAGAATCCAAGATTTTAAATTGTGTTGCTGCTGGTGAGGTCAGTGTATGGCTCATGGTATCAGARTCAGAGTGGTTTGGGTTGGAATGGACCTTAAAGATGATCCAGTGCCACCCCCTGCCATGGGCAGGGACACCTTCCACCACCCCAGGGTGCTCCAAGCCACATCCAACCTATCCTTGGGCACTTCCAGGGATCCAGGGGCAGCCAAAGCTGTTCTGGGCAGCCTGTGCCAGGGCTCACCCCCTCACAGGGAACAATTTCTTCCCAATAGCACATCTCACGCTGCCCTTTGGGACTTTGAAACCTTTCCCCCTTGTCCTGCCACTCCACGCCCTTGTAAATAGTCTCTTTCCATATTTTTTCCTTTCAGGTACTGGGAGGTCACAGTTGGGTCACCCCTGTCTCTTCTCCAGGCTGAACAATCCCAATTTTTCCAGCCTTTCCACAGAGCAGAGCAGAGTTGCTCCATCCCTCTGATCATCTCTGGATTTCCTCCAASAGGTTCAACTCCTTCCTGTCTGGGATCCTGGGGCTGCATGCAGCACTCCAGGTGTTAACRGCAAGTGAGCTCTCTAAGCTACCTCAGAAAGTTTAAAATTTGTTGTCTAAACAGAGAAAAAAACCAAAAGGAATGTTGCTAAAATTACATCTTATTTTATAACCYGGTGGGGATGGCTGGGGGAGCTGGGACAGTCAATGGCATCTCCCACCAGGGGTGAATATGCCCCCTCTCCCCTCTTGGGGTCCCTGTGGTGGATAAAACAAACTGCAGGAAATGTCAGCAGCAACTGAATAAACAATCTGTGTTTGAATAGGGTTGGCTGAATAAATGACTGGTTTGATGGCAGCCACTGGAGAAGGGCTCTGTCAACACCGGTAACGCTCTGCTGTGTAAATACAGAGATTTGGGGTTGCACTATCAGCACTGGTCAGCTTGGGKGTTTTTCCTGTATTAAAAGGGAATATTAAAGGGGCAGAGTGGATGCAGGGCAGTTTGGGCATGGTTGGTGTAGCGGAGCAGCTCATGTGGGGTTGCCTTTACCTGGTGCCTCACCTTGGTGCATGTAATCTGTGTCACAGGAAAGTCACCTCTGGGCTTTTATAGCCACTGGAAAATGTGTGTTTGGGAACTTTGGGGACATGACCCTCGTTTTTGAAACTTAGCTGGAAGGAAAGAAATGATCTTTTGTTTTGTTAAGCCATTATTAAGTCTACAGGATGGCCATTCAAGTATCACTGCATAGTCCACAGGAGATTCTCTGACAGCTAATTGAATCATTCCCTGGAGCAAATCCACCACTGAGGGCACAGGGAAGGTAARGCTGGCAGAAACCAACAACAAATGGATTGAGCAAATGGATCATTCTGCAGGTGACTGGGATTTAAAGTGGGAAAGACTTTCAAAACAAGGGTGTTTTGCCATTTATTTGAAGGGAGCCAGGATTCCACCTTGAGCTYTTCAGGCCAAGCAGGACCATGGGCATATCCAGGGTGACCTCTTGAAGAAAATGTGCACTGCAGGGTGGGACAGCTTAGCTGGGATGCAAAACCCCTGGAGGAAAGAGTTGTGGGGTGCAAAAGCACTGAATTGGGCTAAAGTGGTCTGTGATAATTACCATCCAACTCTTTTCCTGGTGTATTTTTTCTCCTTCCTATATGGAGGTGAGGAAAAAATTTTTCTGTGCTCTCAGTCTAACATGGCTGGGAAAGGGTAGTGTGAACACAATCATTCTTTCTGTGCTTGGTACAAGTGTTTTTTAAAACTTTAGCTCTTATTTTTAGGACTAACGATACACAGTTCTTTATTGGCCCTTAAAAAAGTAAAGATAGATGGTTGGGGAATGTGTAGATAAGTGCTAATAATTCTTGGTAAAACCTGTTCTATATTCCTCAAATGCTACATCTTAAAGCATCTCAAGCTTTCTCTTATTTCAAGTTACATGTTTTGCTGCACTTGTTTTTTTGCTTTATATGAAATCATTCTCAAATATTGCAGTTTGGAAATGGTTTTCCTGTTGCTGTTTTTTTTGGGTTTTTTTTTTTTCCTTAATGCTTCCTGTGTGTCATAATGTTCAACTACAGAAATAATATTTAAATAGATGAAGAGAATTAACAATTTCWGTGTCCTCAGTCCTTTGCTGCTGTTGTGCTGTGCCCTTCCTGGTAGATTGTACAAAGCAGCTCCGAGAAGTGTTTTTCTCTTTAACTGGCTCTTTTTATGTTCAGAAACACAAGTCTCAGAGCTGAAACTTGCAGAAGGTTTTGAAGGCAGCCAAGAAGGAACTTAATGGCTCTCCTGGATGTTGTTCAGAAATCACTCCCCTTAAACTGCTGCGTGTAAGGCCCCCACAAGCCATTTCCAGGGAAGTCGAAGGTAAGAGATGGTAATTGGAAGGCCTGCATTAGTAACACTTTTRGAAGGTGACATTAAAATTTTGAAGTGTAGCTTTTTGCTTTACAGAAAATATATCTAAATGCTCARTTTTGTGGGTCGGTTCTTTTCTGTGTTAGCATGGGCCCTGGGCTCTGTAACTTGGGAATTGGGGGAAATGAATCCATAGGAAAACCAGGCTGGGTTGGTTTCTTTACTGCCTTTCTCCTGACTCTGACTGGGACAAACCTCTCAGGGTGTTTCTGGTCTGTTTGAGCTCCAGATGAAAAATATGATTATTCTCTCTTCACACATCACCTGGTCAAGTCAAATGCCTTTATTCTGCAAGTGGCAAAGAACAGATATATTCTTTCCATTTTGCATACAAGGAGATTCCTTGATGGAAGAAGGATTGTTCCATTTGATTGTTTTCATCTTTCTGTCTTTTTACTCATTTTTACCATGTCTCATGCTGTAACTTTGTTTCCTCATGCCCTTTACTGTGACTCTCAGTATTCAGAATCYACTTGAAAGCCTCCTGCTAAATCTGAGAGGCCACAATGCCCTTGGGCAGGAACATTTCTGCACCTCTGGGAGGTGTCCTGGAAGCATTAAATGGGCTTTAAAATTGAGGCAAGCTCTTGATAACGCTTTGTGCACACACTTTATTTGCACAAACCTGTGGTGTGTGTGTGTGTGTGTGTTAACCCTGCCTTACAGAGCTCTGCACCCTCCAGGTCTCCCACCCACTGTCTCAAGACTTTGGAAAAAGCCAAAACTCAGTTCAGGCTCAAATCTAAACTCCAGCAGCTCTTGCTGCCTCTCTGCTTAGAGTGATCTGATCACTCACTGAAAAGATTTAGTGGAAAAATCACACACAAGAGCTGTGTGATTGTTGCACATTCACCAAAATCTTCCACTGGAAGGGGCTGTGGAGGCTCGAGCTCTGCCAGCAGCACCAAGGGCCCCAAACTGACCAAACATTTCCTGTGCTCCTCTTGTTGTGCTTTGCTTGAGTAATCAGGACAATTCTCTGTTAGGYATAAAATGAAAGTAAATGATTGGAATAAAGATGTGCTGAGCTACTTGACAAGGTTTGAGTACAGGGTACAGAATCTGTGGGTGTTTGGCACAGCCCCAGCACTGCAGATATTTTAGCTCCTGCTTATTTTTGATTCTGTTCAAATATGATTTACCTTAAAAATAATTAACTGCAAAGTAACTGCTATTACACAACAGATATTGATGATTAAAAAATGCCATGGCAAAGCTCTAGGCATGAGCTGAAAGGCTCCAGTGGTGGTCTCAGTTATTTTGGTTTTAACTCCTTCTGGAGTGCCAGGCAGTCACTGTTTGTGAACAGAGGTTTGGTCTATCACATCAGCCTCTTGCAGGAAAAAAGCCCCCAGAAAGGCTCTGGAGAGGCTCAGGCCACACAGCCACAGTGCCACCAGTTCCTCTCACTGTCCTTTGTGGATTCAAAAACTTTATTATTGAAAAAARCCAAAATCTGGTATTAATTCTGAGATTCCCAGAATGCATTTCCTTTCATGTTGCCTGGTCATCTTCCCCCAAAACAGGTGTGCACAGGAAAATAAAGGTATTCTTACTCATCCTATTGCTCTTTTTTTTATCTTCTGAAGCTGTTAGAGAGCCCCAGTGTCAGCCACTGCTCACATAAAGAGTAATGCTGGCATTAAAATGCAATGTTGGTGGTGGGAGAAGGTCATAAAGAACATATTTATTGAAATCTTAGACAAACTACAGTGAGTTATCCCCAGCTCAGGGTGCTCTTGCCAAAAATTGCAAAAATTAAAATGAAATAGCCAGCAAAACTGAAATTGCCCTTTCCTTCTGAAAAAAAAAAAAGAATCAGACCTATTTGTAAAGTTCTCAGGCTACACAAATAGCTCTGCCTTTCATTAGTTATTGAGGGGATGGCAGACCCTGTGTTCCTTCAGACTGCTGAAGTGTGAAGAAAATTAGTATYTCACTTTCACAGGATTACACTGGAATATTTTCTCCACAGGCAAATATTTTTTAGATAACAAATATCGTACACAGTATTTATTTTCTAAATGGTCACACTTAACAGAGCTCATCTCAGAGAAGATCTGGTGGTACAGATGATTTAAGAAACAGAGTGTTTTTATAGCTTCCTGGAGGGATTATGGCTATTTAAGAGAAAATATCTTGTTTATTCCAGCCAAATTTTGTCCTTGCTGTTGTGCAGACTTCATGGCAGCTTCCAGTACAAACACTAAGAATTGATTGAGGTTTTATGGGATGTTTTTGGCTCCCAGATTCAACAAAGAGCTGTTTGAAGGAGAGGTTATAACAGTGAGATGTAACAAGGTGTGGATGTGACCAAAATTGAGCTTGGACTGGATCTCTGGTCCAAAGTTGATGTGGCAATTGTGCAACTGCCCCTCACACCTTGAATGTGGAAGGGAATGGGCACAATTCCACTGAATTCTCACCCAGGATTAACACAAAGTTTAAACTGGACACAAATAATTAAACAGACACTGACTCCTCTCTTGCCATGTGGGAGCTGTTCTTTTGCTGTTATCTCATTCCCTTTGACATCCTTCAGGGTGAAGAATTTCTTCATGGAAAGGKTGGTCAGGCCTTGGAAGGGGCTGCCCAGGGAGATTTGGAKTCCYCACCCCTGGAAGTGTCCAAGGAAYGACTGGACCTGGCTCTCAGTGCTCTAGTGTGACACGAGAGGCTGGACTCAGTTTTGGACATCTTTTCCATCCTCAGTGATTCTTGGATTCTCAGCTCTGTACTGGAAGGATCAGATCCTCCTTTCTCTTTCACAAACCTGTGCCTTGAAATCTGTTTTCTTTAGGAATGATATGGATGCAGATATAAGCAGTTGACATCAGTTCTGAGAATATTTTCTTGTAGGTGGAACTATTATTCCTCCTTGGAACTGCAACTGTGCAGAGTCAGTGATTTGCTATGCTAATAAGTTGCTGAAGGGAAAATGGGAATTATTCTGGCTTTGTGTACCCCTCAGTACATGTGGTTAAAAAAGACTAAAGGGCAACAGAAGATGAGCAATTCTGGAAAGCACTTGTGCAGGAAGTAATGAGGGAGGCAGGAGGGTATGGATTTAAAGGTGGAAGATTCCCCTGCTGTAATTTGTTTTTGAAGTGCTTGTTGCACTCTTTGCTCTCCTGTGAAGGCAAAMCCCAGTGACTGCACTGACAGATGATGTGGGTGACAGGTCTGCATTCACTGATCCCACCTCATTCCAGAAACTTGGCATCTCGTTCATCACTTCTGCTACAAACATGCAGAAAACCCAAACCAGAGCTCCCTCCTGGTTTTATCAACACTTCTTAGGTAGGATTCTTTCTGTTGCAGTTTATTTCTYGTACGAGTCATCTTCTTGACTCACAGCTGAAGATTACCCTGTTGCTTCATTTATTTGGTGGTTAATTTGGCACTGTGGGCAGATGTGATGTAAAGCTCTTAACCATTCCAGGGTGAGATGGAGGCAAGCAATCTGCACCAAGGAGGTTTAACAAGGCATCCATCCCAAGGGAGTGGAGATATTTTAATTTAATTAAAGGGAACATTTCGTACTGAACTGAAAAGATTTATCTTGTTGACTAAGACATTAATATTATTTTTAAAGGGAGATACCCAGTGAAAACTCAATATTCTGACCATATGTTTTTGCTGTGCAAAAATGCTGATTTTTAGCTTGATGAGAACCCCAAATTTCTGTCAGTTACATTTCATTCACGTGGACAGTTAAGCATTGCGAAGCTGTTGATTGGATTGCTGGTTCCAGTGCATACCTTACACTATTCAGGTAATTTAAATAAATGCTTTTATTAGCTTTAACAGGTAATACGGCATTTCTTACATGTTCCTTGTGCCTCTGGTCTTCAATTATGGCTGATCTCTTGTATGTGAGAATGAGTAAAACATTTTGGTTTCCAGGTATTATTCCTAGAAGTYTCATTTGTTAAAAAGAACCCGTGGAAGTCACAGCACACCCGTGCCCACACGTGCACAGGTACCTGGAGGAGCACACAGGCACTGAGGCCATCGTGTTCCATCACYTCACGATGTCTCAGCACCCAAACATCATTTTGGCAGCCTTGAGGGCTGTTCTGGCCTGCAGAGCTGCCCTGGGAAGCATCTCCTGCTCTTTCCCTTGTGGGCAACCCTCCCTGCAGCTCAAAGAGTCATACAATGGTTTGGGTGGACAGGACTTYGAAGACCATCCARTTTGAAACCATTTGCCCTTGTCCTGTCACTCCAGGCCCTTGTAAATTGTCTCTYTCCWTCTTTCTCCTAGGCTCCCTTCAGGAGGGAGCAATTAGGATGCAATTAGTAGAAGGGGCAATTAGGTCACCCCGGTCTYTTCTSCAGGCTGAATAATCCCAATTCTCTCAGCCTTTCCTCCCAACAGAGCTGCTCCATCCCTCTGATCACCTTGGTGCCTCCTCTGGACTCTTTCCAACAGTTCCATGTCCTTCTGTGCTGGGATCCCAGGGCTGGAGGCAGCTSTGCAGGTGGGATCTCACCTGAGCGGGGCCGCGGGCTGGTGAAGCAAACCAGGGTACGATGGGGCTGCGAGCGCACATGGCCGGGCTGCCGCCACCGCGTCCCCCGTCCCCGGCGGATCCCATCCCATCCCGCCCCGCAACACCGACCCTACTCCACCGACCCTACTGCACCGACCCCACCCCACGGAGCCCGCCCCGCTCCCCGCCGCGGCCGATGCAGGCTGCCGGCTGTCAGCGAGGCGCATCCCGCGCCCAGCACGGCCGGATGGGGACGGGAACGGGAGGAAAAGGAAAGGGAAGGAAGGCAAAGCTCGCAGCGCGGCCCCGGCAGCACCCGCCCCCAGCGCAGGTTGCGCTCAGGAGGAGCCTGTTTTTGCATGGCCACGCCCCCTTCATGAATATCMGCTTGGCCACGCCTCCTCCGTGCGCTCGCGGGTTGGGGAGCCCCGGGAGCGCGCGCGCGCGCGCCCG